ATAATAACAGCGAAGTATAATTATAAATATATCTACTAAATAACTAATAATCTATTAATACTAGAGATTATTTATCTTAATTAAGAATATAAGTAAAGTAAATAAAGAAGTCTTAAAGAAGACTTAAAGAAAGCTTAGATAAGAAGTTATAAAAGGAGATATATATAATTATATAAATAAGGAAAGAAAAGAAAAGTTAGTTTATAAGAAAAGAAGGCCTTTTTATATTCTTTCTCTCTAAATGTCACGGGCTAGGCCTTTGTGTAAAGAAGACTAGTGGTTCGATTAACTAAATAGAATTCTCTAAGGAGAAAAGAGAAGAGAAAAAGGAAGCGAGGACGGGAACCGTGTTCCTTAAGGCGTCCGAGCTCCCTGAGTGACGCTTGGGTTACTCTATTAACTAAAGGGGGCGTGTCACATGACCACGGACATGTCCGAGGTCATGTGACCTGAGCGAAGGCTCTCTAGCCAAGCATATCAATCGAGTCTCGACCCGTTACACTAAATAGTAATTATAGATTTAAGGCTAGAAATTTCTAGAATTTATAAAAGAAAGGATTTATAAGTAAACTAGAAGATTAGATAAACTTCTCTAAGCTTAAAAAGTAATTAAATAATAACTAAATTATAAGTAAAGACTTAATATAAGATTTATAAATAAATTAGAAGATTAAATAAACTTCTCTAAACTAAAATAATAATAGAATTATACTTAAGTTATAAATAGATATAAAAATAAGATTTATAGAATAATTAAAGAATTAGAGTAACTTTTAAATACTTATACTTATTATAGTATTATTACTTTTATAAAAGAGAATTAAAAAAGGAGATACGAGAATAATTAGGTTTAACCTAAAGATAAAGGCTTTTAGGACTTTAATATAAAGTTACTATTAAGACCTTAGGTTATATTAGGGTTATAGTTAAGCTCTACTTAGTTAAATAAATTCTATAATATAAATAAAAAGCCTTTAAGACTTTAATACCGAGTTATTATTAAAGTCTTAGGTTATATATAAGGTATAACTATTTAGGATATTTAAATAAGGTTATTTATAGAATACTAAGGCCTTTTAGGGATAAGGGCCTAGAGGGGGGGATATTATAAGGGGTTAAAATATGAGGAGTATATATAATAGAGTAAGCGGGTACTTAGTATCCTATATATAGTTTCCTAGTCTAGTTAAGGTTTATATAGAGTATTAGAGTATTAGATCCCACTTCCTAATTAAGTAAAAGATTAGCGCTCCTCTCTTTAGGTACTAGGGAGTATATAAGTATATGAACCGAGCTTAGGGAAAGGGTATAAATTAGTCTATATAATAGGAGTATAAGGCACATAAATAGTAGTGTGCTATACTAGTAACTAGGGGTAAAGGGGTGGAATCTATAGTAAAGTAAGGAGTGAAGCGTGAAAGTATAAGTAATTCTAAGGACTCGTATTTAGAAATAAACTAATCGATACCTTCTTCTAAGCTCTATATACTTCCCTATATAGAACTCATTCCCCCGCTGGGTGTATAGAAGCACTAGTCCTAATTAGGAAGTGCGATCCTTTGTATATACTAGCTTAATTAGGCTACTAAACCCGGCTAGCTACGCTTGCTCCCAGATTTGCGCCTCACAAGGAGTTACTTCTTAGAATTAGTTATACTTACAAGCGTCACTCTCAAGTTTACTTACCTTGACTACTTATACATCACCCTACTATTATGCGCCTCACGGGTAGGAGGGTTTATTAGGTGCTCCTTAGAGGTAGCTATAGACTCCTCGTCTACACTTCGTTCATCCTTAGTACTCCTACTTACTTCATTATCGGTTTCAGAGTCTTCATCTAGTAGTACTAAACGTACTAGGTATTTAGGCCCTCTTCGTAGACTCGGAGTCTTCGGACTCTCCTTCCAAAGCTTCTGGAATATTGATTCATTATATCGCTTATTTCTATAGGTCTCACTTTGAGCCAGGACTTTTTCGTTAAGGATGAGTTTCCTTAGTATCATTTTATACATTAGAACTACTACTTCAGGACTCCATAATTAGTACGGTTCCTTCCATGCATACCACTATTAGGTAACATTTCTAGAGGCACCAAATTGTAGTCCTGAAAATTACATTCCATCGCCTTTTCAGTGGAGCACTTCTCCCAGGTGCATCCAAAGGGCTGGGCCGTGTTCTTCCAAGAGGAGCTTTGCTGCCCGGCCACGTGACTGTCTGTCCACCAATCAAAAATGTTATACGGGGCTTTTTTTTTCTAGAGAAGTATAGTTTTAATTAGCTAATTTTTTTTCACAAATCAAAACTGTCAGCGACAGATCCTCCGTGGCGCAATTGGCTAGCGCGGTAAGCATCCACGACTACTAGATCTTCAGAGAGTCCTAATTCAAAATAGTTCGACTGTTACACAGCAGATCATCGAGAGGTTGGTGGTTCGAGCCCACCCGGGGGAGGTCCAGCTTCAGATTACCTTTTTTTAAGCTGCATCCGAAGCAGCATCTCAAATGGGATTTTTTGCACTTTGAATCAGGTTGTTTGCGATTTTTTTGGTTGTTTGCCGATGTCATGAAGTTTTTGACTTTTTTTGGTGGGCTGGTGCCGGTGCAAAACTCACTGTCTAGAAGCGAGAGCAATTGATTGATTCCGTCATTCACAGCCCGCAGATCTCGACTTTCAGAGTGAGCAGAGCTACTCACTCCCATTCCTGCGTGTATAATCATTTTTCACTCTTCCTCTACTGAGTTTCAGAAATTGGACAACGGATTGAACTCCCGTCTATTTTCCACCTGGATCAAAATAGTAATTACAGGTCTAATCTATTCTGTAAGTAAAGTCGAGAACTCAATCTTTTCACATTTCAACCACTTGAACATCTTATTCTCCAGTATATTTCAATAGCAGGCAGCAAACGAATAGGCAGGCATTCAATGTCATGCACGTGATATGATACCCGTTTGTGTTACACCGGAAGTGAGTAAGGCTAGACTCCCGTTTGTTTTGGACCCCAAAGAATCGCCACCGCTGATCAACGGTCAAGGCTAAGTTCTATCTTTGTTGCAGACCGCACGCTTGAGGCTATTAGGGGCTCTTCAAATCCTGTGGTTATTAGTTCAGTCTCCGTATTTTATGTCGGCTCTTAGCCCGGGGTCATTAGGGGAAGGAGACTTCGATGACATGCATGTACTGTCTCACTCATATTCAACACTCACGATTTTAATAGAAAGGAAACTTGCAGTGAAACAAATCCAAATTGAAGCTTTTTACATGCTGAAGTGTGGATTTGGCCAAGATTTGGTGCCTACTTTATCACATGGAGAGCTGAAAGCCAAAAGTTTATTCCGTCCAAAGTGTCTCCGCTTGGCATGCATCGTTGGTGTTCACACGCTCTGCTATTTCTTCAACCCGAGCACATGCTCCGTGTTTTCCAACCAAATCGTTGAGCAGGTTCAGAACGTACACTCGAAGACCTAGCAGAAGGTACCCTAACTCTACGAAATCTAATAGCTAATCAAGTCAACCTTGGAACTTGGAAGACTGCAAAAAGCTCCGCAGGTAATCGGGCGGACACACAATTCCCTTGGACCCCTCGGACGGTCGTTCTGGGCAACCAATCCCCACCCCTTATCAGGGCCATTACTCTCTGTGTTGCCCGAGGGGTGACTTCACAACAGGCAACAAAATACGAACGTACACAGCCTCGCTAACTGACGTCGAATTCTGATCACAGCGTCATCGAAGGATCAAAGCCGCAGATCACCAATTATTTGTGCTAGCAGTTGGAGGTCGTTAATCGCGCAGGGGCGAGTGTAGCTCCCGAGGGGTTGATTCCTGGAGCCTGGTAACGTACCGGCTCCGGGTTGAGACACACCAGTTCCCTCCAGGGTTGTCATCACTGGATCCTGCTGGGAGCTGGCTTGCACGCCCGACTGGCTGGCCCTGATTGCGGGGAGACCTGTCAAAACTTCCAGGAGCGCCTCGCCCGAGTCGCGGAAGAACTGTCCTCTTCTCTTGAAAGGAGAGCTTCTGTGCATACTTCTAGAATAGCTCAAACGTCTGACTCTCCAAGCTGACTGAGTTGCCAAGTTCTACCGAACAGTCTCCGCGTGCAGCATCTCGCCTGGAGACAACAGCCCATTCGCTCCTCAACGCGGTGGGAACGCCACGCCCGCAACACAGCCCAGAACCAGCCTCGCGAGGCGGCGGGATGCCCAAAATGCAGTCTAGGCTGTTTACAGCAATATCGAAGAGGCGCAATCGATGGAAATCGTAAGGCAGTTGCACCTGTGCTCGTGGGGGAGCCGGGGAGGGGGGTGCGCCGATTGAGGCAGCCGATAATCTGGACAACCTTGGAGCCACTGCACACCTCAGACAGCAGTCCCACACTGCACTGCACCGTCTCATGTACGTGGACACACCTGTCACTCACCATCGCACCTTGCTCTTATTCTGCTTTGTCCTTTCGCTGCATCTCTCCTCTTAACATTGATCGACAATAGGAACGGGGCTTCGACGATAGAACGCCCGAAGATTGCGAGGCGACAGCCGGCACCCCGCCGGCCTTGCTCAACGAAATGGCCGACTTCGTAGCTCCCGTGAAGGCCATCCTCAAGGCTCTGGAAACAGGAATCAAGTTAACGAAAAAGGTATCCGAGTCTGCAGAGCTCGCAGTCTCCGAGTATGCGAGCTCTGCAACTGAAGCAAAAGCGCAGCAGATTTCCGTGTTGGCGCCCGGTTTGCAGAAGTCGTTGGAGCAAACTTGTCAGGCTATTCGGGACGCCTATCAGCAAGAGGTTGAAGCATGCGGCAAGCCGTTCACAAAAGCTCTGGTCGAGGACAGTGGGTTGGTCTGATATTGCCGAGTGTTCCCCAGCTGATCGTCTTGCAGAAACCATTCAAGCCCGGCTGAAGGACCTCAAAAACGACGTTCGTGATAGCATAGACGAATGCCAGGATTTCGAGGATGACCCAGAATCTTTCGACAAGACAACATTCATGGCCATCAAGCAACAAGCTGACAAATGCTCTGCGGATTGCGTTTCTATATTCCGGGATCTGCGAGATCAATTGACCCAAGGCCGGGTCCCCACATATATGCTGGGAAAGGAACCCAAGGACGATACTGCACAGTCTACAAGCACGAGAGTGGACACAAAGCATAGTCAGAGCAAGCCCGTAACCGACCTTCAAACATTCATGTTGGGAAACCAACCAAAAGACGACAGGACACAATTGTCAAGCATGAGACATCCCAGCGTAACCAATTCAATGCCACCTCCCTACATATCACCAGAAACTCCAACTGAACCGCTCCGAATTAATACTCCTTCTGTTCCAGCTCCCCAATTCGAGCCAGTGAGACCGAAGGGTCCTTGGGGAATCGGGGATTCTTTAAATTATGACATGAGTCCAACTCTCGGTGGCTCTCTTGGGGCCTCAGCAAGCTTACTACGGCGGAAACCTGTGGGGAAGGGTCTCCTGCGGAGCAATCAGACGGCCCCCATTGATACCTAAGGAGATTGTCCATTCTCGGATCAATGCAAACGAAGAGTTTCTCGAACGACGACGGCAGTCACGTATCATGTTCAACAATGAGCTGCGTTACTCTGCTGTATCCTCCATTGATGAAAACCGGGCCAGCGAGACTTTCAGTGATGGGCCATTGTCACCACTTAGCCCAAGCCCTGCGACGTCTACAAGTCCAGTAGATGGGCGTGGCTTCAGAGCAAGTTTGAACACATACGATATGACCAGGCAAAGAAGCCAAGGGCATGCTTCACAGGGAACACGCAGCTCAAGAACGAGCTCCGTTCTCCCTGACCGTCAGCCAGTTCAAAGACGTGATAGTGAAGATTCGATATTCGGTCTTCGTGGCGCAGCACCAGCTAGTCCCTCTATTAGTGAAACCCAGACTGTTGGGACTTCAGGGAATATCGAGCTTTGGTCGCCAATTACGACGACTGCCAGCCCGGCCATCATCGACAACCCCTATACCTGGGATCCAGTGCCAGTGCCAACGAAGTTGCAAATGCCATCGCCTTCATTTGGGAATGAAATCCCAGCTGGACTTGAACCAGTAAACGTCGCTTACGATGACGGAATGATTGTAGTGAACGCCCCCGAACAAAATGCTCAGCGTGGACCAACGTTCACAGTGAGGAAAATGGACTACCCTATACGAGCCGATAGCTCCTTCACCAAGTTTGGGGGGTTCTGCGACGGTGCCAAAGCATTAACAAGAGGCGAGACGGGGTTTAAAATAGCGAAAAGGCCATCAGTATGTTCGATCTCTGTAAATGATATGGCGAACCAGCTAACCGTCTATCCCAGGGCCACTATAGCGCAACTGTTTCGGCCAGATGTGTCGCTTGTTCTTATGAAGTGGGCTGGAATGACGTTGAGAAAGACAAAATGCTTGACAGTAAGGAGTTCAATTGTGGTGAGAAACAGTTGCTAATACATGTTCAGGATCTGGTATATATGGTAACAGTGGAATACGATTTCGGCAACGATTTGTGTCAAAGTCCCATCTGAAGGCAAATTCAATCGAAACTCCCAAATATGCTGTAAGAATCTTCAAGATTTTGATCGTCGTCGCATAATCTAACCTTTAATAGTGTTTATTCTGCATCGAAGTACACAAGACCGTCGAAGAGCACGATGCAACAATATTCTTCTCAGTCGCCCAACTATTTAAGCACATCGCCAAACATCCACAACCTGTACCTCACGTCCACGGCATTACAGTCCTTTATGGCCAACAACCCCCAGATGTATTGGACTTTGACATTCATTTCACAACATCACAACCTCTGGTTCCCGAATTTGCGTACGCTGCAATTGCACAAAAGGTGGCAACTCGACCCTCAGCACAAGCCATTTCTTCCAATAATCCAAAAAATGGCCGTACTGATTCTCGTGACCCTGATGGCAATCCTGTACTACATTTCGCTGTCGGAGCTCGGATCATTGGAATAACGTTCCCGGATAGGTTCAATGGTCTATGGTCTATTGGCTATCACGATGGCCTGCGTGGGTCATTTCCAACCTCTACAATTGCGATCGATCAGCCCGGAAGAGATGAGGAGGTCATGAATTCCAATAGCAATCTAGTTGCCTTCGCGAAGTGGGACTTCAAACTAAAGAAATCAAAAGACGACCCCTGGCTCAAGTTCAGCAAAGGAGAGACGATTACCCATATTGGATTCAAATATCAAGATCAGTGGTGTTGGACCGGACAGAATGCAAAAGGACAATGGGGCTTGTTTCCAAATGCATTTGTGGACAGTCTGCACGATCGCGGAGTCTTCGGTACCAGTCCAGGAAGCGTCAAGAAAGGTAGCTTGTCGTCGAAGATGCCCAGCTTCTCACTCGGGAGAAATAGGGGTTCGAATAAGCCTGAAAGGAAAACAAGCATCATGAGTACGAGCAGCGGTGGGAGTATAAAAAGTGTTCA